AGGCAGAATGGAATATGCTATGTTCAGAGTACTTTACTCACTTGACTCAGGAATTGGTTAGAGATCAGTTTTAGGTAGTAATGTAGTCTGAATGGAGGGAACAATTACCTTTCTGTCATAAGCAGCAGCTATAACGGGTCAATACTAGCTGATTTCTTTGGCAAATTCAAGCTGGTTGTTCCAGTCAAATGTAAATTTGGCTACTTCCAAATTTTGCGGTTTGCACGACTAATGGGAGGAGGTTCTACTTCCATTTGGCAATGGGCTATAATGGGCATTGTAATTAAGCTATTGTTGGAGTGGATGGAGAAAACTGATCGGGAAGAAAACTCCCATAGTGAGAAATGAGCTCTTTCATGTGTAACAAATTAGGCTTAAAGGATTTGTATTAAGATATACATTTAGGCTTTTCTCGAAAGATCATGACGAGTAGAAGTTACCAGAATTGTTACTACCTTGTATAGGAAATATTTAGGTTATTTATATGTGTGATATTTTCAGTAGTGTATTGGAATCTCTCTCACCACTCCTCCTGTGGGTAGAGATTCTTACTTGCTAAACTGTGTTTCTGGCTTTCCTTTTCTTGGTTGTGTTATTTCAATGGTGGCATTGCATGAGTTTACCTTTTGCATTCCGAAAATATACATGCTGTCTTCAAGTCTTTTCAACAGAACAACTTTTTAGATATGCTGCGATTTTTTTGCATATACTAATACATATTTTAGGTCACGTAGCTTTTTTTTTACGTATTCATTCATCGGAACATTCGGCTTAACAAAATTGACATTTTCCACGCAGCTGCTGCTGTAATCCAGCCGTTTGTTCTTTCTTGGATCCTTGTTGCCGTTCTGTATTCACTAGCATTTTTATGAGGAAACAAGGAAACATTTTGTTTTCTAGACTCGGGAAAAGCTGAGTCGCTCCGAGATAAAGCACGGAACTCCCACACTGGTCTGCAGTGTTGTATGAGATAACTCAAGAAAGTTTACATGTTTATGTGCAGCAAAAAGAATGCTGCATCCTGAGTTAAGGCGGTAAATTTTAACATATGTAAATATGGATATAATGCTTTTGCCAGCATGGGTTTTGAGGTCCAAGCCATAAAGGTGGCAGGCCTTTTTCCAACATGTATCTTGCCTTGTTGTATCTTGTGTAATATTCTGCAGAAATCAAGATCAAGAAATGCGTTTCACCCAAAATAAGGGTGGTATCTCCTCCCTAACTTTTCAAAGCTTTTTACCCTGCTGTGTTTTTAATTTCTCGTTTATGTTTTTTGAGAATCCATCACTATTGTAACGATTTTATCTGTTTCCATTGTGCTTATGCTGTTAAGCTTGACTTCGTATCTGAAATCAACTCAAACACGAGTCCTTGTAATTTGAAGTGATCTCTCTTGATGGTCCACATGCATTACGACAGGACAGCTCCGAATCCTTTTCCTGCAAATCGTATTGTTTCTTTAGTATTATTCTTGTAATCGATCATGCAGACAAAAGAAAAGTGTGATCTCTCTTGATTTTGTGTTTGACAGACAAAAAAACGTGTGATATCTCTTGATTTTGCGTTGAAACGAACGACGAGATGAAGGTGATTTACGTGGTTGTTCTAACAGTTTATCGAACAACTGTTATTACGTTATTGATGTTTTTTTTGTTTGGCCAATTGAATTGGACGTTGAGAAATAACATGATGAAATGAAAGGGATGTTTCCAATCTTTGCTACAAGTTAATGAGTTGAATTACTGTTCATTATGCGAGCAGCTCACCTTCACTACTAGCGCACAGGTCTAAAAAGCCCGTGTACAACAAGAATTATTGGATCCAAATGAGCGAAGAAAAAGCGCCGTGAGATATCAGCAGAACAAGAGGCGCCCGCGCGCCCAGCATGATTTTGTCGTGCCTCGTTAAAAATTCGACAATCAACAATCATGGGGTTCGCCAAATCTACATCTCAAATGAAAGCAATGCTTTGAGCTTCGATCGAATCGTGTGGGAAATGAATTTGACGAGAGCAGCGCATTTTACTTGAATACGATGGACTTTATTTGCACATATGAAAATGGATCTACCAAAACTATGCGAAAAAGACGATGTTTTGTTCTTCGTAATGCGTGAGCTGGGATCCAACTCCAAACCTCAGATCTACCATAAAAAGATTTCGTCCGTTGCCTTGTGTTGTGGTTCTCTCCTCTTCCCCTTTACATAACCAAAGATTATTTATGGAAAGCACGCAAATATCTTTAGGGATCTGTTCTTTATGTATAGATCTGCTAGGGAGTAATTTGGTTCAATCTAGACCTAGGGCCCGTTTAGATGATATAAAAAATGTATATAAAAATCATAGGTTACAGGGGCATGAAATCATGAATTTTGGCTTTTGAGATCTTATTTGCCTATGGGTCAAAAACCACTAAAAATGACAAAAAAAATCATGGTTACAACTTATGAAATCATGAATTATATCTCACAAAATTATTTGCCAACAAATTGAAACCACAAAATATTGCCAAAAATCATGGTTTACTAGCTCATGAAATCAAGAAATTTAGCCTCTGGGATATTATTTGCTTATGGAATGTAACCGCTAAAAAAGGCCGAATATCATGGATTATAGCTCACAAAATCGTGAACTTTGGCATCCGTAAAACTTTTTTTCGACAGGTTAAAACCACTGATAACGTCAAAAAATCATGGTGAATTTCAGCTTCTATGAAATAATTTGCCAACGGTCGAAATTGCTAAGAATGACCAAAAATCGTTAAGTTGTGAATTTTGGTTTCCGAGAAATAATTATCCTATGAGTCAAAACCACTAAAAATGACCAAAAATCGAGGGTTATAGCTCATGAAACTGTGAATTTTGACTTCTGGAAAATTATTTGCCTAAGGGTTAAAACCTATAAAAATACGCAACAATCATCGGTTATAGTACATGGAATCTTGAATTACAGCTCACAAAAATATTTTTCAGCTGGTTGACACATAAGAATATGACTAAAACTTATGGATTATAGCTCATGAAATCAGGAAACTTGGCCTCTAGGTTATTATTTGCCAACTGATCGAAACCCTTTAAATGGCAAAAAATTAAGGGTTATAACTCATGACATTGTGAAATTTAGCCTCCACTAAAAATGGCAAGAAAGTCAGGGATTATAGCTCATGAATCATAAATTTTGACTTTCAGGAAATTATTTGTCAACAGGTTGGAACAACTAAAAATGGCCAAAAATAGTGGGTTATACCTTATGAAACCGTGAATTTTGGCCTGCGGGAAGTTATTTACCAACCGATCTATGTTGTGCACGGCGCGGAAGCCAAACAAACAACCAACTATGATGCTTTGAGAAACCAAACCAACAAACGCCGAGAGAAAGACCAAACAAAACACAAACACCAAAGTTTTACGTGGTTCGGCAATTGCCTACGTCCACGGGGCAAGAAGGGGGGTGGGTTTTCACTAATAGAGAAGGAGAGTACAAATTGAGATTACAAATCGCTCAAACGAACCAACTAATCTCACCAACAAATCTCTCAAACTCTCAACCAATAACCCTAACAAATAGCTCAGAAAGATCTCTCTTTTCTGTGCTCCAAAATCCCCAGATTTGCTCCTACAAAACCCTCAAATCGTATTGGTATTTATACCAAAACAGAAACCCAAACAGACTGCAAATAGGAACTCTAACTTTCCAAAAAACCCGTCATAAGTCGACTTAACAGTCTGCATAAGTCGACTTGGCAGAGCGAAAAACAACAACTGGAGAAGAGATCATAAGTCGACTTATCAGACCTGATAAGTCGACTTGGCAGAGCGAAAACCAACAATCCAGAACAGAACGTAAGTCGACTCATGCACCAACATAAGTCGACTTACCATAAGTCGACTTATGCCTGTGCATGAGTCGACTTATGACCAAAAATCTGCTTTTTCCAATTCTTCTCCACAATTCTCCACCTCGGCGAAGTTTTCCCAAAACTGAGCCGACACCAACCAAACAAATGCCTCACATGCTGAGACCCAAATGAGAGTGTGAACACTCACCCCAAATGTCGATGTCGCTCACCAAATCGGCTGCATCAAAATGACTGCCTACGTATCCTTTGCCCAAGGAATCAAGCCTTCACGTAGTTCACCCAAACGGCCTCCAAAGGCCCTCAATCAAATAGAAAAGTCTGCAACTCTTCTCCAATATCACCAAACGATCTGCAACTGATAGTATTCCCAATGACCCCAAATTGAGACAAATCAAACACCTCCACCTGAGGTAAACCAATGGCCATATCCAAACTATATCTACCAGCTGCAACTGAATCCAAAACCAATCCATCATCTGCATCCAAAACCAAATGATCTCCAACCTGTGTCACCTTAGCTGGAATCCCAAATGACGCAGTATGATCTGGAGTATGTGGAGTAATCTCCACCCAACGTGGAGTAGCATCACTCTCCACCTGCTGCGATATCCAAATGACCTGATCAACACTCTCCACCTGCCGAGAGTCAAAAGTGACATACCTGCTCAGAACAAAATCAGAAGCTCCCAAACGATAATCAACTGAGCCTCCGAACCCCAAACGCGCAATCGGATCCAATCTCACATCCACGATGTGACCAAATGCTGGGTATCCAAATATCCGACGCGACCCAAAATCTGAAGCAGCTCCACCAGATCTAATAACTCCTAAAGCAGCAGTCGGCGACCTATGCATAAGATGACCCAAATATGTCGAAGCCCGCACACCAATGCCAATGCTCGACATCAAACGCCGATCCTCCTCCAGAAAGGAACGACCCATCGAAACTGTCATCTCATCTCGTCGCCCCAAAGTCTCCACACCAATGAAGTGTCTCCTATTGCCGTGAGCTCGGCACCAACGCAAGAAAGGACCCCTACCAAAGCTGAAACAATGAGTTACCTTTCTGCCAATACACTTCTTCCAATTGTTGTTGACTTCTAGGACTTTACACCAACGGGAACTGGTCGCGACCCAATAATGCCTAGAACAATCACCAACTGTGGAAACCAAGATACGATTACCTCCCAATGATGCCTCCTTGGAAGGCCCCCAAATGCCTGACTGAACACCTCCAAAAAGACCCCTCGCTCGATGGATAGAAGTGCCAAACTCCACCACGGTCTCGCTCATCCTAATGTGCTCACAGGACTTCAATCTGCAGGTCATAGCACTCCTCAACAACCAATGCACGGTATTACCAATCATATACCCCAGCACCAAACAATGCCACAGTCTAGCCGAATCTGATGAAGTCGTCATTTCCCTATCAATCACCGTGCTTCCGTGCAAATAATACAAATTTCTTCTTCTGACGCCCTTCATCACAATCATGGACCCAAATGTAACCTTCAAGCGTGCATCCGCCAAGGTCACCCTATAGCCAGCTGCCTCCAAAGCTCCAAGTGAAATGATGTTCTTCTTCAACTGAGGAACGAACCTCACTCCAACCAACTCCCGAATCACCCCGTCACTCATCCTGATCCGAACAGTACCAATACCACCAATAGAGCATTTGTGATCATTCCCCATGAGCACGAAATCCCCTCTTTCCAACTCCTGAAAGCTGGAGAACCAATCCCTCCTAGGGCAAATGTGGTATGTAGCACCCGAATCCAATATCCACTCTGTAGAGTAGGCAACACAAACTGACGGCAGTGCAGATAACGAGTAGCCCGAAGAATCCGAATCTGAATCGTTGCCACTAGCCTTGACAACATTCGCCTCTGAAGCTTGAATAGCTTTTCCCTTATTCTTCCCGGCTCGATCAACTAACTTTGGGCAATCGGCTTTCCAATGTCCATCTTCTTTGCAAAAGGCACATTGATTCTTACGAACTCCAAGATGTGCCCCTCTAGACTGCGACCTCCCACTACGGTTTGGACCCTTTGCTCTTGCGACCAACGCCCCCGCTACCGGCTCAAACGAAGTCTCCTTATCCTTCTTTCGAAGCTGATAATTCACAAGTGCAGCGGTGACCTCACTATACGAAAGAGATGCCTTCCCATTAATAAGAGTAAGAACGAAGGTCTCATATTCCTCGTCAGGCAAGGAACTCAATAGCAACAACGCCTTGTCCTCATCTTCAATCTTAACATCCACATTCGCCAAATCCGCAAGAAGCTTCGTGTAGTGGTTCATGTGATCACCAATGGAGGTTCCTTTCTTCAACTGGAAGCGGTAAAGCCTCCTCTTCAAATGCAAGCGATTCTCCACACTCTTGGTCAAATACTTGCTCTCAAGGATCTCCCAAATCTTCTTTGCAGAAGTCTCATTGATCACATCATACTTTAGATC